GCACATGGTTGGAACTCAGACCATGGCAGCCACAGCTGTTGGTGGCTAGCAGTGTGCTCTCTTTAGGGGCAGGTACCCACTTCCTTATAGCCAGTCAAGGCCACACACATGAGTGAACAGCACCACCAGACACAAAGGTCCCACTCTGACTTGGAACAGAGAGGACCCACTCCCTTCCTGACCTCAGCAATCCAGACTCCCTCCCAGGTAGGCTAACTCCTGACTTTCCCTTCATCTTCCTCCAAGCCAGGGCCCCCAAGGATCGCAGTGCTCTGTGGATCCCCCGATATTAGATGTACAACCATGTACAGATGTGTGTTTTTCTGGGGTGAGGATCTGTTGCTTTCACCAAATGTTCGAAGAACTTATGCACTTACACTACCCCACCCCAAATTAAGAACCACTGTTCTAAATTATCCACTGCAGATTACATACATCCCCTGTATTCAGTCTCCTGTCAGACCACTAACCATGTTTATAACTCACTAGACATAACCATTAGGTGTATGGACAATTTTGGAAACCCTTTGTAAACCACATGGCCTTAGCCAGACAAGAGAATGCTCACATTAAAAAGAACACTCAGAATGAGCCACACTAGAGCTACCTACTACTCACTGAAGGCCTACTGTGTGCCAGGAACTGAGAAGGTGCTTTCCATGTGCAAGCTCCAGTCCTCACAACTTATTCATGCATGGATTCATTCTTTCATTGTATTTTACACACAAGGCATGGTGCTATGGGATGCAGAAGAGTGGTGGGAAATCAAAGATAGGATACCTGTACTGGTGGAACTTACATTAAAATTAGAGAAAGAAGATATTAATCAAATGTCACCCAAGAAAATGTAAAATTACAATTGTGTGAACTACTACAAAAAAAAGATACACAGTGCTATGAGAGCTCACAGCAGAAGGAATAAACCTTCTTACAGAGGTCGGGTCAGGTCAAATTAAATAATGATTTAATTTAAATTTGAAGGAAGAATAGCACTTAACAGAGAAAAGGGGAGGTGTGGGTGGGGGGCAAAAGTGGAGAAAAGAAAGAGAAGGGTGTTCCAGCTAAAGGTATGTACAAAAGCCCTGTGGCAGGGAACACAGAGTGACTTGGGGGCTGGATCCAAACAAGGCCGGGCCACGTAGACTCTTGTATGGCATATTAAAGAATTCAATTCCTAGTCTTAGAGCACCGGGAAGAAGACATTCAGGTGTTTCATTCTGTGAGCAACATGATCAGATCTGCTTTTCCAAAGAAAAATGTGGGCATGATGTGGGAATGGATTGGAAAGAGGCCAGAGAAGACACAAGGAGACTGTTAGGAAGCTGCTGCAGTAAGCAGAAGAAAGACAATAGTGGCTGAGACTGGGGTGGTGGCAGGAGAAATGCAAAGGCGCAGACTGAGAGAAGTTCAAGACGTGAAATCCACAGGATATGGGTGGGTAGGGGACAGAGAGGGGCCTGCAGGATGCCCAGATTTCTGGTTCACATGGCTGGATGGAGACAGTGTTATTCTGAGACAGTGATGCCAGAAGAGGACCAGACTTGGGGCAAAGATTATGAGTTCGATTTCGACATGTTGAATTTGAGGTGCTGGAGAAGCCAAGCACAAGCTGGATAAAGTGGTCTGGGGTCAAGGGGGAGGATCAGGTTGCTGGGAGAAAACTGAGTCCCTTGTAGCAAGCAGTTACAGCAGTCATGGGCACAGTGAGATCACTCAGAAGAGCAAACAGACTGAAAAGAGGGAAACATGGAGGGATTCCAACATTTCTCCATCTTACACAAGAGGACACAAGGCTCATGGAGCAGTGACTCCTTAGAGATCAAAATGTTGGTAAGAGGACGAGGCAGAAAATAGAGCAAAACACAAAACCAGAGCATAACCACAGGAGTTCACACTGAAAAGAATTCCTATTTTTGAAAGAAAAGGGTGAAAACCTTCAAGGCGATATCATGACTCAAAAAACACTAAAGGGAAACTGGAGTTATGCTACAGAGAGTGAATTAGGTTAATGCAATAAAAGCAGGAACGACTTCAAGCAAGTTCTAGAAATCATTTCTTTAGGGTTCTGCCCAAACTCTACTTTCCCCTCAAAATCACCTTTGATTACACCAGTCCACACTCATCTGTCCCTCCTCTCAACATTCTCATATTACGTCCTCTTCGTGTCTGGCATTACACTCAACGTTGAGGATGCAGAGTGGGGTAAAACGAGGTTTCTGTGCTAAAGTTGCTCACAGGCTCACGGGGACACAGGGCATGCAGATAAGCAAACCAACAATTACTTTGGAGCTCAGTTGCTGCTAGGAGGGAGGTTGCTACTAGAATACAGAAGAGGGACAGGCAACAGTGCAAGGAATCAGCCAGTGCTTCCCAGGTGATGAATGAGAAACGTGAGTGAGGCACTTGCCAGGTGACAGAAGGGAGACAGAGAGAAAGGCATGTCTGCAGGCAGAGAGATGAGGGGGAAAGACGAAGCATTTGGAGGACACAGGTATAGCCAGAGCACGGGATACCACTTGGGCAACATCAGATGAAGCTGGAGTGATGGGCAGGAGCCTAATTCGAAGAGGCCTTGAATGCCAAGCTAAATAGTTTGAACTTTATCCTGAAATCAACAGGAATCCTAGAAGGATTTTAAGTAGAAGAGTGACATAATCAAATCTGTATGTTAGAAAATGCATTTGGGCAGCAGGGTGGAGGCGATGGGAACATTTCAGATCACAGGTGGGTGTGGCCAGCCAGGAGGCCATGAAATTCCTAGGGGCCATCAAGCTGCACAGCTTGTGGTGATTCTTTCTAGAATAAGATAGGACATAGACAAACAACCCAAGTATCATCCGTATCATTTCTTGGGCCCTTTTCTTCCATTACCTGAATTTCTAGTTAACTTTCCACAAGTCAATGTCTCAGTTCCCCAAGACCTTAGGTTCTGTGAGAACAGGTATAATTGTATCTCACAGTTTCTGGCCCATTAGGGAGTGCTCGACATGTGTGCTGAGTAATCCTAGGCTTTCCTGAGATAAGATGCTGACCAAGTGAAGGACAATGTGCCGGAACTTGGCAGGCAGTTGGTCTCAGGGACAGGGGAATGGTGAGTCTCCCAGAGCACTTCGGAGGAGACCATGGAGATTTGTTCAGTCTTTCAAAATACGCTGCTGTTGAGGAAGAAAGGAAGTGGATACATATTGGACACCTGCTATGTGCTGGGCACTTTATTCACGTTAGCGTGTTTAAGCCTCACAAAACCTTGCAAGGAGGTAGTATTACCACCTTCTAACAGATAAAGTATGGTGAAGAAAGGTTATGCAGCTTCCCCAAGGTCACAGAGCTGCCAAGTGGCAATGCTGACTGCCAAATCCAGCTCTCACTGCTTCCAAAGGTCAAGCAGAGACTGCCTCTACCCAAATGAACAGGCGAAAGGGAACGGCGGGAGGGCGTGGGCTGTGGAATCAGACAATCTGGCCTTGTGACTTCGAGTCTCATTTTCTTCAAACAGAAAATGCAGATACTCATAAAAACCTATTTCACAGAGTTATTATAAAAAGATCAAGTATGTGAAAGCCCCTTTTAAATTATAAAGCGTTCTACGAATTGTTATTAATTTAGAGGAGCCACACTTTGAGGGAGGACCACTTATTTACCACACACAGCCTGACCTACAGTCGCTGTCAAACACAGGCCGGTTAATCCGGCTGCTATCACAACAGGACCTCACACTAGACTGGGGGTCTTATTGCTATACTAATTTCGCTACAGTTCTATGAAATCACCTGAGGAAAAAAGAATCTTAATAAAAATTCAATCCTCAGCCCTCAATTTAAAAAGGGCTTCCTCTGAAAAATGAAATGCTAATGTAGTTGATTAAAAAATGTGCTTAAAAAAAGACATCCTAAGTTCAGGAATAATCAGACCATCAGTTAGAGGCCTCTCTTTTTTCAGCTCTGATACATTTACATGGCTATTGAAATTATTTCACTTGATTTCACAACTTCATAATACTCATCAATGTTTTATTTTTGATTCAAAATCTCCTGTAAGTTGTCTTAACAACTTACTATATATCTGATCACTTCTAAAAGACACTTACAATACTCTTTCATTCACTCAAAACAATTTTATTGAAGGCCTCAGACAAGTACTAGACACTATGCAGACACAGATCTTAAGACATGGGCCCCGCCCTCTAGGAGCTCACAGTCTAATATGCTACAAAAAGGAATCTGTACAAGGCACTGGACCTGTAAATGAGGATCAGGGAGTAAGTGCAGTGAGTTCAGAGAGGGACAGACCACACATGGCCACACCCATGAAAGTGCTTCATGGTGGAAGCAGAATTTCAATAAGGAAAGAGAGTTTCTTAGGGTTTTCACAAGTAGAATATTTTAGAAAAATGATACAAAATGAGGGGAAAAAAGATATAAAAAAGTTCAAGGTATATTTGATGGGGGGTGGGAATCTGGTGAAAAATAGACAAACTTAGCTGGAGCAATGGTTTATAAGCAAAATAGTGGAAGATGAAGCAGAAAGGTAGCTTGGGGCCAGAAAAAAGACATCATTAGGCCCAATGAATGACACAGTAAATGTGAGTAGTTGGAGGAAGATTCTTCCACAGTGGTGTTGTGTGAGATGGACGCAGGAAGATTCTAACTGTCCAGGGCTGAGAAATGGAGACCTGAACTACAGGATAGCTGTGGGAATGGAAACTACAACACAGATGTTTTACAAATAAAATGTATCAGGAGGGAAAACTGAAATAACTTTAGCATTAATAGGAATTGAGGAATCCAAATTTACTCTGAGCTGTAACGGAGCTAGAAAAATCTGGAGGAGCTGATTTTGGAACTGCAGGGTGGAAAAGGGTAGAAATAAAGATACATTCTAAAATATCTTTTGGAGGAGTAAGGAAATCTAAAGTTTGAATTTTGCAGTGCTCTATTGTAACATGAACTTCAGATTTTTTTTTAAATCGGATAATAAAAGATACTCAAAGTTTTTCTGACCTTTGTCCTTTGATCTTGGAAGAAATCACTGTAATGTTTAAGCAAGGAAACCAGCACCACATTCCCATCATACTTGATTAGGAAGTAAGGAAGGGCTGTGACTCCTTCTGTTTGACAAAGATCATCATATGCACGCTCAAGGGCTTGAATCTGAAAACAGGAAACATTAAGTTATTCTCTAGACAATTATGTATCTTGGGCTAAAAACTAACATAAAGTAAAAGGTACCTGAAAGCCATAAGACTGGAAATGACTGATCACTCCCATTACTCTATTATAGCAAATGAACATAAAAGTGTCCCCAAATAATACCATTTAACTTTTATATAACACTTTCCAGGTGCATGGTGGTACACATTAGACAGGGGCACAAAGGGAAATGCAAGCTGTCAAGCACAGAGGTTTAGAGAGGGGAACCAAATATTCTTTCTCTCCTATGATAACCCTGCATAAATATACCACTGATGAATTTTACCCTGAACCTTTCCATAATCTTTAAGAGCTTTATCGAGATATAATTCACGTACCATATAATTCACCCATTTAAATAAAGTATATAATTCAATGTATTTTCACAGGGTTGTGCAACCATCACTGGGATAATTTTAGAATATTTTTGTCCTTGATAAAAGAAACCCCATACCTGCCAGCAGTCAATCCCCACCCAAAATCCTTTTTCCTACTTAGATTTTTTTTTCCCCTTGGGAAATTAGTTCCACAAAACCACAACCTTGGATTTGTACTAAACTTTTTTTTTTTTTTTAAATCAATGGCTGCTCCCTGGCTTCAGTATTGAGGGTTTTAGTGATGGATGTGCTTCAGGAATTCAAATCATCCTGACACTCAATCTTTACCTTAACAACAATCAGAATTCTCTAGTTTGAGTTCTCTATTCTACCAGCCTGATTATTTTAATTGCTCTTTGGGGAATCATCTCTAATGATCTTATTATGCTTCTTAAATGGAAAGACTAGCTCTGCATGTACCATTCCTGACAGCAAAGTTCTGCAACCTGGTATGAGGGTAGGCGAACGTCTTCTGTTTTGTTTCAAAGACTCTATTCCCAAAGTATATTGCCTATGTTTCCCCACACTGGAAGTGAAGACCTCGTTTTGGTAAATTCTTTCAGTCTTTCGAAATGTTCCTATTAATTCCTCCCTACTCGCTTAGCATTTCATCAAATACCATGGAGAACCTGGAAAATTATTGTTGGCTACTTCTTCAAAATGACTTCACAAATATTTTGTAAGTCAGTCTGCTCCTAGTACCAACTTTGGAGGATTCCACAGTTACCACCTATTCATCCAGAGAAGTACCTATTTGTCTTTGGAATGAACTAGATAACTACTCTTGCACATTCAACCCAATTTTACCTGCACTTTGTTTTATTTGTTGATACCTGTTTTCGTGAAAACCTTTGATCCAAACCCACTGGCCCTTGTATGAGAGGTATACTCTCTGGAAGACAGAGGGCAGGGTAGCAAAACCAATAGTAGAAGTGGTACTTCTTTAGATCCTAGAATAAATAATATAAAATAGGATATTAGAATAGCACCAATAATTAAGCTGAAATGTATCTATTAATATAACTTCTCAAAAACAATTAAGAGAAAGGTTGTTGAACATAAAATATGCGCAGCTTGTCAAATATTCTCATCTCTAACAGACTCATGATAGAAAACAGGACTTTTGTCTTGATCCCCAAATACTTTCACATACCGCACACCAATAATAGAAAATCAACATAATATCCTTTATTGACTACTTGCTAACAGAAAATGTGCCGTAAGTAACTGACATTATCATCACCATTGTTTAATACCCAAAACTACTCTGGGAGGTATAATAATTATTATTATCCTATTTTACTGACAGAAAACTGAAGCTTAGTAAAAGGGTTAAAGAATATGAACAATAATAACAACAAAAGATGATAAGTGGCAGAGACGGGGATCAGAACTCTACTTCCAAAACTTAAGCTTTTTTCCACTCCACCATACGTACTCAATGTATTAATACCATCTGTGGAAGCATGGCCTCCAAACACAGTTACCATTCTCTTCACAATCAAATAAGGTAAGTGTGTTATTAAGGAAGATGTGATATTCACATACCTGTGCATGCCTAATATAATGTTGTTTTGGGAAATGCCTTATTGGTGAAATTCAAGTCAACAATTATTAAGTTTTTGCTATGTACAAGACAAAACATAAGACACTCAGATAATAAGATGAATAAACCCCAGTCTCAGCCACTGGGCAGCTCACTTTCTGCATGGAACAGAGATAAAGTCAATGCATGATTAACCATTAGAGTTATAAAGCGGTGCTAAGTGACAAGGGGTACTAAGGAACATAGATAATAGAAGGGGTTATGCTACATCTTCATGGGTGTATCTGATCACTCCCCCACCAGGGGAAGTGACCCAGGGGTAAGGATTCATGAGGCTGTCCTTGACACTGTCCCCACTCAGGCTGATGGCTCTTGCCTCTGAATTCCTGCAGTGTTTGGGTCCTTAATCACTCATGGATCCTTCCCCACTGGTCTGTGACCACTTACCACCATTGTAGTTTATGTGGCTAATTAATATTTCTTCTTGGATCTTACTAAGAATTAAAATTGGATGGTTGTTAGGTGACTTTTTTATTGAGCTATAAGTCACATGCCATAAAATTTACCATCTTAAAGTGTACAATTTTGTGGGGTATTTTTTTAGTGTACTGACAAGGTTGTACCACCATCACTGCTAATTTCAGAATATTTTCATCATCCCAAGAAGAAATCCCTTACCTATTATCAGAAACTCCCCATTCTCCCTCCCCTATTTCCTGGCAACCACTAATCTATTTTCTATCTCTATGGATTTGCCTATTCTGGACTTTTCATATAAATGGAATCATACTTGATGACTTTTTAAACATTAATTTATATATAAACATGTGTCCAGATGAGAAAGTCTAGTAATTACAGTTTCTGCGGTCTCTAATTCTGCTAATAATTGATCAACTAAGAACAGACTCCCTTTTCATGATGCCAAAACAACCTGCAAAATTGAAATTAATGAAGTGTTCAGTCCTTTGAGTCCTGAAAACAGTGGAAAGGAAAGCAAAAACACCTCCAGAGGGTATTTTTTCTTCTTTGTACTTAAATGATTTGTCATACCTGATCTTTAGTGAAAGGTTAAACAATTCAAAGTGCAGGATGTCACAAATTCTAAGAAGCTATATCAGGTCATCTTCAAAAGTCAAAGGCTTGAATTTCATAGGATTCTTTTCGGGATACAATGGACCTCGATTAAATTAAACATAAAGCCCTTTGTGTCCGAAGATTTGAAAAGACAGAAACTTTTAATTTTTTAAAAGCCAAGTGAAAGAACGCTCAGTGCAAAAGGCAACAAGGCCAACATACATACTGACTCTAGGCAATATCTTAAAACTTTAAATAAGAGCTAATGTTGTTTTTCTCATGAAATGCAATTTGTCAACATGTTCTACTAATGAGAATTCTTGGTACAGAAAATGTACTGATATTCAAGTATCTTGAAATCTTTAACTAGCAATCCTTAAAATTTATCCTACTAGAGGACCTACAAACTTACTCAAATGTAAAGACAAATTATTACTGCCAAATTGCACTAGTAATCTGACAAAGAATTTCAACATTTCTCTCTCTGCCTCACTATTACATAAAAAGCATTATAGTTTGTTAGAAAATGTGCTCCTTTTAGATGGCAACCCATTGGTATGACCTCATTTGATTCCTGTCATCCCTACCTTTGCCTTGGGCAATAAATCAGGGAGGCAGCATTCAGAAGAAATGGGGTGGGGAGCGAGGAGAAAGGCAAGACCCACTATTTGGCACAAATAAAAAGTGGGGAAGAGGATTGATATCCAAAGGTGATGATGCTATGATAAAACAACACACTTAATACACAGCAACATCAATGTGTCTACATGCCCACTCCAAAGAACTTATTCTAAAGAAATAAAATGAACAGGAAAAAAAATCAATATAGCCAACAGTGTATATTGTTCAATATATTGCAGCATTTTTTAAAATAGTGAATACTAGAAACAACCTAAATGTACAATAGGAATCTATGGAATACAGTCAACGTAATAATAAAGTACATAAATTAGTTTTATTAAATATACACACACATATACATATATATGCATATATATACATCTGTGTGTGTCTGTGTGTATATTGCTGGCATCTCCACAGGCAACCTTTACCTTTTCCCTACTTTATCCCTCACCAAGGCCAAGGCCAGGTTCTTCCCTCTAGCTCCTTAACCCTTCTTCCCTAGGCAGCAAATGTCACCCTAATGTGATTTCTTTTCCTCTTTAAGGTTGTCCTTAATGTTCATTTTAATTAGATCTCACCTATAGAAAACATTTTTCTTCCTTAAAACAAAAAAATAAACAAAAAACAACAATTGTGTGGTCAAGCCATTTAGTGCGATCTCTAATCCAGAAGGCCCTTTCCCTTATCTGGATGGACCCAGCCACTGAGCTCTGCAGGACTGTGTTTAACAAAGATGGTAGCAACAATGAAACCACTTCTCCCCAAATCAAATTTTATCATGTCCTGAATAACAAGAGGTGGGTCACTGTGTTATATCAACTATGCAACTACTGCCAGCATGACCAATGGGGATGAATTAATTTTGCATTGGTAACAGGTGCCAACACTATCTGGCTACTAATCAAATAAGCATTTCCTTAACAGCTATAACTTTAACAACACAAGCTTCAGAGAGAAAGAGAGCAGGCTGTTCTACTGGTACACACGGCTGAGCCAGGGAATTTCTCTAGTCTCAATGCAACAGAGAGCCCATTTACTTACCGCAAATGTCAAGAGGAGGAACTTGTTGAGGAGTACAGGGTTTTCAAGAGCAGCACCCGATTTTATGGATTCCCATATCTGCCAAGAGAAGAAGAGCGTCAGGGCAGGTTACCAGGCAGCGCTGAGCTTCTCACTCTCAAGCAAAGCATGGAGCTGAAAAGCACCAAGCTCTTCTTTCCTACAGGCCCAGCTCCACTTATCCCAGACAATGAAGTGGGTCATTACCTCACTCTGCCTACCCCACACCGCCTCTCGGCTGGCTGTACTCCCTCCAGTGTCTGAGCAAAGTGAGAGAGCCCAGACGCCTCCTTTCAGCAGTTCTCAGCACAGAGAGGCAACCAGGCCATCTGCATGCCTTCATGATTTCCTTCAGCTAATATTTACTTACTGTCTACTATATACCAGGCACATCATGGTTACAGAAATAAAAGACACAGTCAGTTCCTACCCTCAGGACACTCACAGTCCAGAAAGAGAGACAGGCATAAACATACAACTTCAACATTACATAAGATTTGCTAGCACAGAAGTATGTAACATTCCTGAGAGCAACTCTCCTCAGACTCAACTGGGGGAGGTAAGAGGGCAGAGCCTGGGAGGGGTCCTTGCAGAAAGTGACTTGAAATATATATAGGGGACTTCTTAAAGCTTTGTTTGGGATTATCTCCCCCTAAGAGATGAAAAAAGAAGAACAAACTTCAAGTTTATGTATACTCAGCAAGTACTGAGACTAGGAGCAAAAGCTGGTGCTGGTCAGCAGCTGCAAATCACAAGATGTTCTGGTAGCTAAGATTAGTTGCTAAACTTTGTGTTACTAAGTGAGGCAAAACAGTTGCACCAACAAGAACCATTCCCCAAGTATGGATGGAAGAAGGAAATAAGCAAAGACAAACAGTTCCTGCTATTGACATAATGACCTTGGCAGCGCCGGAACACTGAAGAGAAGCCTCCACTTTCTGAGATGCCGAGGGGGTGTGAGGTGAGAACTGCTGGGAGAAGTCTGAGTCCCAGACAAGGGGTGGGCTTCCTCTGGGGAGCAATCTTTTTTCCATAATGGATTAAGACCTGACCCAACCCTTTGAAGATTCCCTTTTAAGTATGCAGCCAAAGCAGAAGGCCCAGAAGCAATCAAACCACAGGTTAAGAAAAATGACCATCCTCACCTGAGTCACTGCAGCATCCATGATGTGGGATACGAGGGAAGCCTGTCTCAGGACCTGAGCACTGCACCAGCGTAAATGAGACTTTTTTTTTTAAGACCAGTGTAAAGACTCCTCGATTAAGTGAGTTAGAAAGGATTGGGATAAATGGTCCCCTCCCACCCAATTTTAATTCCTCTCACTAACTGAGATGTGAAGAAGCAAAGGAAAGACATTCCAGGTAGAGAGATCATGTCCCGAGGAGAGAGGAGAGAGCAGATAGTAGGTGAAGGGAGATACACATGATTTTCTGTGCCAGTCAGAGAAGGCAAGGACAAGAGCGACAGGTCAGAAGAGCAAAGAGGTCAGCAGAGCCAGGCCATGGAGGGCCTTGAAAGCCAGATGAAGTAGATCAGATGTAGCCCTGAAGACACTAGAGAGACTACATGATAATCTCCTATAGCATCGTGGTGCACATGACTGCCAAGCCTCTCCAAGGGTACAAGGAACAGAGCACCCAGAGGCATTCAGCCACGGGAATGTAACTCTCAGAGAGAGGTCTGGTTGCTTCAAAATGCTAATTGGAGATCAGCAGCAAACTTGATTTCTTAACCTCTGCCATGCCATGAATTTCTGGTCTATCCCAGGTTAAGAGCCTGGATGTCTTCTCCCTGACCTTTCCACCAACACAGAAGGAGAGAGCTGGGAGTGCTCTCTCTGGAGAAATAAACCAAAGTCCAAAAACATTTCTGAGTACCTGTTAGATACTGGTTTCTGCGACAGACCCATGTGCCTGATCAGAAACACTGCACCTGCCGGGACCACAGACAATGTGACACATACACAACGTTTTCCCAGCTAACCTCATTTGCTGTTTGTTCCAAAAGGAGCTTCTTATCTGCAGTCTTGAAAGACTCGAGTGTGTTGGTGTTATATAGCGTTCCGACAGCTGGGCAGCAATGGGCTGGGGTGGGAGCACTCCTAGATACGAGAGAAACACAGTTAGCCAGGCACAGCTGGGACTCAGAGAGAGCCTGGGAGAGACAATAAACCACTGTAGTAGTAGGAGACAAAGGATATTGCTCTGTAGGGCAAATAGAAGATTGATATTTCTTTGGAAAAAGACAAATATCATTGCTCAAGGACTAAAAAACAGGCACCATTGCCCCCAAAAAGCCTGTGTCTTTCTTTTACCCTAACCTCTTGGTACACTAGTCTACTGCCCCCCAAATAACAGTTCATATCCTATTTTGTATTCTTTTCCATCTTTACTCTAAGAGAGAAACACTATTTATTGAGCCAGGAACTCAATAAATAAAGGTTTGAATGCTCAAACATCTCTTTCTCTCATTTAAAGGTTTAAGGAACTTGCCTAAGGTCATATAATGACAGGAAGAGCTTGAATCTGAAACCAGAACTAGTTTTCTCTAAGGTACCATCCACCCTCTGCTCAGAACCCTGTGGGCTTCAGGGCTCTCTGCAATCTCCTCTCTTCCAGGAAGCCATCTCCCATTTTCTCTTATAAGAGCTGGCACATTAAACTGACCATAATATTTTAGAGCATTTTCAAGAATAGTCATATCCACCCAACTGGAGGACAATAAGCCCCTTGAGGGCAGGGAGCATGTCTTCTCCTCACTGTCCCACAGCCTAACCCACCCCAGGCAGGGATCGCACAGAACTCTGCTAAGCAAACCCCTAGTGGTTGTCTGAGTCACACAGACAAAACGTATGACACCTGGGCTACCTGTCAATCTATCATGCCACGTGGTTTACACACTTTACATTGTCCCCAAAGACCTACAGGTCCTCAGAGTAATCCAAGCCAGGAGAAGAGAAGAGGAGTTGATTCTGAATACAAATTTAGATGTACACAAATTTGGTCTTTTATTTCAGAGGTTACAGATGCTAAATGAAAATATTCATTTCATTAGTAGCCTAATATTGTTATCACTTACAACTAAAGCAGAGACAATGCATTTTTACTGATTGTACCCATGGTAGCTGTACAATTTAGAAGACCCAGTATTTTTTCACTCCAAGTCTGTGCAAAATTGGGTTCAAGAGGCCTGAAGGAGAAGAGATCTAAACCTAGAACAGGTGTGAAGGGGTAAAATGAGTGATGATGGCTCTGTCAAATGCCATCTGTAAGGCTCCAATGCCAAGTCCTGGGGGACGGCTAACTTTCAATGGCCAGAGCCTTCTCTCAGGAGCCATGAGTCAGCAAATCACAAGTTGTCTGTCAACACACTCTTCCAATAAAAGAATATTTTTCATCCAAGTGAGATGAGGACATCAAAGATGGTCTTGAGGAGAAAATCACAAAGGGGCAAGACTAAGTCTAGAGGAAGGAGAAGAAAGCAGAGCAGTTGGTAAACTAGGCCTTCTACATTCAGACTCGACTTCATGAAATTACTGCTGAAACAGTATGCCGAAACGGAAGGAAGGATGCTGTGATCTAATGTGGACCCAAGCACAGAGGAGGAAGGTGCCCTTCCTCCTTAATGTCTAAATGTCCCAGGTATGTGTGAGAGCCATGCCAAAGCCTCACTGAGAAGGGAGGAAACTACATCCCAAGAACTCGAGCAACTGCCAAGATGGCTAGGTTCCTAGGAACACCAGCACTTACGCAAGTTACTGAGTGAGGACAATCTGAAGTTTTCAAGGAGAAACATTTTTCATGACTAAACTTCCACCAGGGAGGTGGCCAGGGAAATGAATTAAAAAAGTGATAATGAGAAGAAAAGAGCCCAAGACTTGGAGACAAGAAAATTTAGTTCAAATCCTGGTCCTGACACTTATTAGTTGTTTTCTATGAATCTGTTTATATGAAATGTCCAGAATAGGCAAATCCTCAGAGACAGAAAGTAGATTTCTGGTTGCCTAGGGCTGGAGGGTAGGGAGGAGGGAGAATGGAGAATGATTACTACAGCTTTCTCTTGGGGGTGATGAAAATGTTCTGGAATAAGATGGTAGCGATGGTTGCACAACTCCGTGAATCTACTAAAAATCACTGAATTGTACATTTTAAAAGAGTGAATTTTACAGTATGTGAATTATATCTCAATATAGCTGTGAAAAAGAATCTGACTTAGAAATCTTCCCCACATACTAAAGCCAGCAGTGAACTCTCAGTGATGTATACACTAACCTGGTAAGAAAATGGGTCTCACAAAGGCCTGAAGCCTGGGCCTGTTTGGGGACATTCTATCTACACACTTGGCCTTCGCTTTCCCCCAGTCTCACAGTGATTACTCAGGAATGTATTCGGGCTATTTTGCACCAGTTTATTCACACGTGGCCAATGGGTAGGCAGGTGGCCAGAATGGAATAAATCCTCCGGAAGAAGAGCAGAGGTCACTCTTCACACCTGGAGGAATCTTCACTCCACAGGCACAGCTTCGCGTGCCCACGGGACTTTGGGAACCCGGGAAGTCACAATGCGGGGTGGGGATATGCTGTGTTGTTACCTATCCCTTTCAGTAACAACTGCTGAGTTTCTGCTTATAACATCCTCTAACAGAGTCCATTGGCATCTTTCTATCAACGACACCACATCCCATTTTGACGGATGCACTTAGCTTATAATTCAATTCAATAGTTATCTGAGCAACTAGTACACACCAAATCTGTGTTGGCTGCTGGCAATATAGTGGAGAATGAGACAGACACAGACACTGTGTGGCTGATGGAGCATACGACGCCTTAGCTACTTTTCAAGTTCTTTGAGGGCAAGGATTATGTTTTCTATTTCTCTAAGTCCAACTTGAGGCTTAGAAAAGAAAAGTAGTTCTTAAAAGCAAAGACAAATATTCCTCAAGGGAAAGAGGCCCACAGAAATGTTCATTCAAATGTTTGTCATTTGAGGCCCAGGGAAAGGAAAACTCTTTTTTACCAGTTTCACATTGGTACAGAGATTGTCGACCAAAATCTATCTTCCTCTTCTTCAACAGAGATAGAAATCATCTATGATACTTGCAGCTGGGCACCACATTTCCCAGTCTTTCTTGTAAGACATGTAAGGCCACAGGCTCTCCCCAGGGGAATCTGAGTGGAGTGATGCATGTCCCTTCCCAGCCAGGGCCTTTAGGAGATGGGGTATGTGTCTTCCATCTGTTTTCATCCTGGCTCTCTTTCCCCATTAATCTCTTGCTACCTCAAAGTGACAACTCAGTTTTAACTAGCACACAAAGACAAAGCCCTCAGGGATGAGGGAACTGCAAGATAGAAGACTGGACCACCAGCCCTGGAATATTAAATGAGCAAGAAATAAAATTCCTTTGTGTTTGGGCTCTTATATTTTTGGGTCTGGTTCAGCAGTTACCTTACTCTAAGATAGCATCCTCCAGTTCAAGTTAGTGCCTGATAAAATACTACTTGGCTGCCAATTTGCCTAACACAATTTAGAGAACAGGCTCCTTAGGCTGCTACGCTGGCAGAGACCCTTAAGATTTCCAGGGATTCATAGTAAAAGATTTATCTAGTGCTACACAAGGCTGAGATACTCTTGGCATCCATAAGTGAGTACTAGGACTATTAGCTTTTCAACTCTACCTTATTCCTCTCTGTATGCCCAGTGACAGGAACATGCTATCATCCAGACACAGAGGAAACAGTAAGTATTCCTAAAATAATTCTCCACATTTATGACAGCAGTGGGCACACCAGAATGCAAATATTTGTCTTCTGCCTCTCTGTCATACCACAGTGGAGCTCTGGAGGACAAGTTTCATAAGTCTTTGTATTCCTAACACCTACATACCCTGCACCTTGTAGACATTCACTCTTTGATGAATAAATTAATGACAATTTTCCCTACAAACCCACACAGATATATGGCAGTAAAAACAAAGGTCAAGCAATAATAATGAGAATAATTTGGTGTAAGGAACTCATGCCTTCTGAGGGGCCTCAAGAGCTTTCATTCAACTTCCCAGCCATCCTTACAAAGAGAGACTTAGAAAATCACAGACATTTAAAACTGGAAGAAACATTAGGAACCAAGAGCCCCTTTTAGAGATGACGAAACAAAAGCTGAGACAACCAAAAGGTCTTAACAAGGTAGCACAGTTAATGAGCCATAGATCCCAGGTCTTTAAACTTGAAATCCAGGGCTATTTTCACAACACCACGGACCACGTCTCATTCCTGCTCACCTCCTCACGGTATACCACAGTGCCTTGCACGCTGTGGGTGTTCAATGGTTAAAGGAAAAAATACCACCAGTGAAATAAAGCAGTTTGTGTTAAAGTCATAGCTGTAGTATTACAGATTTTCTCATCTCCTTCAGCCAAAATTTCTGGATTGCTGAAGTTTAAAATACTTGGATTTATCTAGATCAAATCTAACTTCTGTGAACTGCTTTTTTTCTTAATTGTTCTAAAGAATAAAATTATTAAAATCTTAAAAATCAAACAAAACTTCAGTCTATTATAAGGATAACGATAGGAGTGAGGCTAGTTGAGATGAATGTTAGATTTTATATAATCCAGATTATATAAAACCAGACTGCTGATATTCCCCCTTTACCATCTTCAGACAATTTAATATTTTCACATTTCCAGTATTTTCCTCATTATACTGCAATCACTCCAAGATAAGTTGGTTTTGGCAAAACAAGGGAGAGATTACTAGGATTTAACTTGTTTTGACAAGTAATCACAAAGAATTTATGATGGAGCAAGAAAGCTCTAAAGGAAACAAGAAACACCAATACATTCATTTTTAAAGATACAAGACTAACCCCATTTTAGATTTTTGTTATGCTTTTAAATTTTACAATTTGATTGAGATAAAGGAACAAAATGTATTGATTTTTTGAGATTTAAAAAAAAACAATTCTAGGAACACATTATTTTAAATACCCTAACCTTTGACTACTGTCATTTTCAAAAGGCAGGCAGACCTTACAAAGACCTCTTCAGCTTCCAAAAATCCCTCATCTTGACACTGCTGAGGTATAAGTAAGCAGAAAAAGTGGACCTCATTGTAGCCTTTAATTCTTTAATCTTTAATAATCTTAAAGCCCCTTACCATGGTTTTGGCTCCACCCTTCTGTGTAGAATTCAGTTTGAGAAACTGAATTCTTAAGGACCATGAGTGACTTAATCAACAAACTCAAAGACCCTCGCATTTAATCTGATCTTTGTGCTTCTGACACTATTGACCTTCTCCTTCCTTCTGAAATCATTTCCTTCTTTGGTTTCTATAACACTTTTCTGGTTCTTCTCTGACAAACCCTGTGTCCTTTGCTAGTTCTGCATCCTCTTTGCCCTCCCTAATTGGAGCCATTCACTGTTTGGATCTTTTGTTTTTCTTGCACTATACAGATGCTCCTCCACTTACAATGGGGGTTGCATCCTGATATACCCATCATAAGATGAAATACCGTAAGTCAAAAATGCATTTAATACGCCTAACCTACCAGGCATCATAGCTTAGCCTAGCCTACCTTACACGTGCTCAGAACACTTACATTAGCCTACAGCTGGGCAAAAGCATCTAACACGAAGCCTATTTTATAATAAAGTGTTGCATATCTCATGTAATTTATTGAACACTGTAATGGAAGTAAAAAACAGAGTAGTTGTATAGGTACTTGAAGTACAGTTTCTGCTGAATATATACCTCTTTTACACCATCGTAAAGTTGAAAAATCGTAAGTTGAACCACCATAAGTCAGGGATCACCTGTATTCTCTTTCTCTTGTACAGCCTCATGATCTCCTCTCCATGGATGTCTCCCCCATCTAGTCTGACCCTCTCTCCTGACTCCAGTTCCTCCTGGACATTTCTAGTGGGCACTGTCATCTCAAATTCAACATGTTCTAAACCAAACGTACCTCCTCCTAAAATTATATCCCCCTCCTAGTTTCTCTTTTTCTGTAAAAGATAGTAAAATCCCCCTAGCTGGATTTCAGAAATGTATTTCTGATTACGTTTTTATTTTTTCCTCACCCTTGCTTTCTAAATTTAGCTAGGTGTGACCTTGGGCAAGCTATTTTTACCTTTTGTGCCCCCATGGTTTCCTCATCTGAAAAAGAGAAAAATCACACCTGGCAGATCTGAAAGAATTATGTTTATGAAAATGCCTAGCTAATTAAGTGCTCAATAAATGTCTCTCTTCTCTCCAGCAACTTCTGATAGCTCCCCAGCAAATAAAAAAAATTGAGGACATATCTAGCATATTCCTTTGTATAGCCCCCTAATGCCTTACACAGTGGCTTGTATACAGAAGTAGCCTAATAAACATTTATTGATCAATGCCCATGGACAAGCAACTAAAGGAGTAAATCAAGAGGTACCAATAATGGATCATGAAATGTTAACTATAATCAAAATCAGGAGGGATGTTATCTATGTCTCAATCTAGATGATACTTGGCACCTAATAGGCTGATAAGTATCTGTTGAAAAAATTAACCAGATAGACCTAAGCACCTAGCACTTGTCTCTACAGGAGGTACAAGAGAATTATGAGGTGCTGACTCTGCTTACCTGGAGTTTCCCTAGTTCCTCCTGCAATCTGCCTATGATGGAGGTGAGAATGCTCATTCCTCACCAAAAGCAAACATTATTCTTTACTTTAGATTTTGAACAAATAAATACTTACATGTCAAAAGCACTGAACTCCAATGTTAAGCGAGCTGGCAGCCCAGCAGAATCACCTGGACAGAAGCATTATCACACTGTCAATTACAAGTCAGAAATAACACCTTTCATAACCAAAATGTTTGTGAATGGTTTTGTTCTCTTTGTTGAGCCCAATGTGCCCCATCCAATTCCTGATCATCTCTGTATCTGTATGTAGATAATATATGTATAGATAATGGCAGAACATGACAGAGCTCTTGTGAATATGAGTGATTTTCCAAGAATATAAAAAAGATTCAATGGAAAAAAATTTCTAATCTCCTCCCCCAGCAATGCTAAATAATCAATATTATTTGGATTAAACAACTTGAGTTTCACTACTCCCTTTCTTCTCCCCACAACAGGGGAAAAGGAATGAAAAGGAACTTGAGTCAAAAGTCAGGAAGTAAAATAGAAACTACTGAAGAGCATGGGTTATAAAAGACAAGGGTGTCCCTTTCTAAAGGAAAACAAACACTATACTGGAGGACAGAGAGAATAACAGAAGACGATGGAAGATGAAGTTTACCATCACCTACCATTGTAGTAATAACCCTTAATGTCCTTGGGAGCTTCATCTAGCCGATATTCATTCAGCTTCTTCTGGGTCAACTCATGCCAGAACCCAACATCCAAGGCACTGCTAAAGGGGGCAAACTGCAATTTGGAGAGTCCAGGATCCCTTGTCGCTGCTGCCATTATTTGCTGTCTACTAAAAAAACAAAACACAACACAGCAAAATAGCATACCCACACAAAACTTGGGGAAAGTACATTTGTAATAAAGCTTAATTCAAACAAATAACCAAAGTAATAAGAGGTATATGGGCTACCTTAAGATATAACTTTTTTTTAATTGTGGTAAAAAACAGATAACATATAATTTACCATCTTGACCATTTTGAAGTGTTCAGTTCAGTAGTATTAAGTATACTCACAATGTTGTAAAAGACATCTCCAGAACTTTTTCTTCTTGCAAAACTGTAACTCTATACTTTTTAAACAGCCCCTGGCAACCACCATTCTCCTTTCTGTCTCTGAGTTTGAGTACTTTAGATCAGGGGTCCCCAACTTGTGGTGAGTTGTATTATTATTTCATTATATATTACAATATAATAACAATAGAAATAAAGTACATAATAAATGTAATATGCTTGAATCATCCTGAAACCATCCCCATCCCTCCCTGGTCCATGGAAAAATTATCTTCCATGAAAATGATCTCTAGTGCCAAAAAGGTTGGGGACCACTGCTTTAGATAACTCACATAAATGGAATCACATAATATTTGGTTTTTTGTGGCTGGCTTATTTCACTTAAGACACAACTTTGAAAACCATCCTGAATAATCTGCCTATGTTGTCAAGTTTAGCCTCCTCATGACACAAGTCATTTTCTAAATAACCCTTTCTGACCTTAATTTCTGTGCATCTTCCTTCCTCATTAAAGTCAGTCTGACTGATGCACTAGTGTTATTCCTTCTTCAACATAGTCTCAGAAGTTTTCGCCATCCCATGTAATCCTAGGCAACTTTACAAGTATAGAATGCTAAGTTCAGCCAGTTAGAAATGCAAGTATCCAAACTGTTAGAATTCTGTCTGAATGAGAGCAGTGTTTTAGCATCCCTAGCTGAGGCAGAGAAATGAAGGATAAGTTTCTCCCCACCTCCCACGATGCCTGAATTTTGTTGAAATCTCCCCTTTTATCTTTTCAGTGCATGGAAAATTTCTATTTTATCCCATGATACATATTTTCATATTTCATTTCCCCCCTCAAATCATCAAATATATTTGACCCTGCTGGCACTCATGCATGTGTATGCTGTAACGTCCTATACCCTCTGCACTCTCTCAGGGTATACAGACTCCAGTTTGAGAAGCACAATACTAGAGGAATCTGGCAGCTTCACAAAGCACAAACTGATGAGGTCCCTTAGCTTTCCATCCTGTCCCCATGAGCAGACCTATATTAGCATTTCTGAAGAACATATGAATAGTCACACTAATGAGATAAATTTAAAAAAAGATAGTACATATCTACTCAGAGAGGTGTTGCCTGAGTTTTGTGCCAAGATTATTAAAAAGCTTTCGGTTTTCCAAACTTGTTGGATTTTAGCATTAGAGATAAGGAGCCTTGGATTGATACTAAGCATATGAAGAAACGCAGTTAGTACTCTACATAAAGGGTGCTTGAAATCAAGGAGGGGATAAGACAAGCGTAGGGCAGAACCATGAGAAAGGTCCTGTTAAGGAGATGGGTACAGAGTGACGTTGAAAAGAATGGTAAGGAGGTGCAAGATGGGTGGAGGGCAGAAGGAACAAGAAGAGCAGAGGAACGGCTGTGGGGGAAATGAAGCCGCGTCAGACAGCTCTCCTTAGTGCAGGGTTTGTGCTGTGCAAGAGTAGTGCACACAGAGCTGAATGGGCTACGCAGGCGAATATGTACAGAGAAGCCTCAAATGTGAGACAGAAGAACTTCAGAGGGGAGAGCTAGTGCCAGCTCTGCACAGGGCACATGATCCTGCAGTGGTTAAAGGGCTTTGAAGGAGGCAAGCAGGGAAATCGGCTAAGAGCCTGAGGATTTATAAAGACCTGGATTACAGCAGAGGAAGTAAGACTGGAAAGGAGGAGATCCTCATTGGGGATGTTTTAAGAGAAAAGGTGATCAAACTTGGTTATATTGGTGGATTCAAGGAATGAAAGATAGGAAAAAAGCCCTTGGGGTGTCAAGCTGTGACTAGCTAGGAGAATGGCAGCTTGGCTGAAAGAAAAGACACTTGAGAGGCAGAGCCGGTCTGAGAAGGATAATAAAGGAAAGACATTTTCAGCTGTGGACAACAGCAGGGCGAAGATTGGGAGGCCAGGGCATGAAAACTGGAGCTCGCCCAAAAAGGCGGACTCAGAGAGATTTCGGAGGCACTGACACTGAGATAATAGCTAAAACAGGGGAGAAGGCTCACTTCTTAGAAGCTAGAGAAAGAAAAGCTACAGCTCAACAAAGTCCTAGAGAATGTCCACAGTTAGGGAGTAAGAAGAAATAGAACCAGTACAGGGCCAGGCACGGTGGATGACACCTGCAATCCCAGTACTCTGGGAGGCCAAGGCTGGAGGATTGCTTGAGCTCAGGAGATTGAGACGAGCCTGAGCAAGAGCAAGACCCTATCTCTACTAAAAAATAGAAAAATTAGCCAGGCGTCGTGGTGGACACCTGTAGTCCCAGCTACTCGGGAGCCTGAGGCAAGAGAATCATTTGAGCCCAGGAGTTTGAGGTTGCAGTGAGCTACGATGATGCCACTGCACCCTACTCAGGGTGACAGAGTGAGACTCTGTCTCGAAAAAAAAACAAAAACAAAAACCAGTAAAACAAAGAAAGCAGTAGTTGGTATACCAGGACAGTACACATGTCTACCAGCCCAGAGCAATACAAAAGTTTGAGAAGAGTAATGATTAAAGGACAATAGGAGTCAAAGAAAATGACTGGTCAATGCCATTGGATTTTAATGTTTAAAAGGAGCACAGCAGTGGCTTTCTAAAATGCAATTTGATGGTAGATTGCTAAAAAGAGAACAGGCTGTAAAGGCAGGATCACCAAAGGGGAGAACTGACTGTGTCCCCAGCAAGTTCTAGGGGGGCAGGTGAATTTTCTACTGCGTTCCTAATGCATGGTTGTTTTTCAACAGGCTGAATATGCTCTACACATTTAAAAATATGCTTTGGCAACAGAAATCCAATTGTCAATGAATGAAAAATTCACGATGGGGGTTTAACAAACTGAGAAGAACAAACAGAAAACAAGAGGTGGAAATTATAATAATTATTTTTCCATATATTGGTAAGTTTCATTGATCACAGAGAATAGCACATCACTGTTGCTAACATTCTCTGCTGCCTCCGTATGGTTTGTAGTGTTATGCACCAGACAATGGCTGACCAAAGGTTTTCAAACTTTTACCACCTTGAGGGCTCGCTTATTAAAAACTGAGGATGCCTGGGCCCCACCCACTTCTGTCGAGGGGAGAAGGGATGTTGAGCGTGGCCAGGAGTCTGTGAGTTTGACCAGTACATTTGGTGCTATCTCAATGCCTACAGGTCACTGGCACTCCTACTTCTGGAGGCCCACTTCTAAACCATATCAAATGTATTTAAATGCACCCTCACTCCCTATTAAATATTTTTTGGCTTTTAACTGTTTGAAAGGACTTTTATAATTTTGCACTCTAAGAATTTTCATCTTCTTTTTCCAGGCCCACCTATTTCCACAGGCCCCTGAAAAGCTGTGGACCCTACACACTGTGGCTGCAGCACCTAATGGAGACCTACTGGTGTTCTGCTGCTGAAACTGCTGACAGGCTAACAAAATGGAAAAGTCTTGAGCAATAGCAGCAACAAGTGATGAGGAATCCGCTGGAAATACATAAACAGGATACTCTCGCATTAATGTGTCACTTAGGAGCCGATATGTCTATGTCACATCACTACAGTCCTTAAGTTGGAAGGGAAGATTCAAGTAGTAAGGGTCAGAGGGGAATTTGGGGGAAGTGAGTCCTAGGTACAGAGTTATTTATGTGTAACTAATCTAGATCCAAATATTACCCACTTCACAAAGAGTAAGCCTTACCAGTATAACCCTGGGCAGTGCAAGTAAGACTTGGGCCTCTGCTTAGCTTAGAACGTCAAAAGATTATTTCTATCACACTTCAGCGTTACATTCAGACACATTCAAGGAAAGAAACTGACAAGGGCATCAATATAAGTGCGGTTCAATTTTACTTCAAACTATTTGTATCATATTCAGGATGTGAAACCCAGGAGCTACACAAATAGGATTGAGTCACTTCCAATTAGGGAGGAAAGGCTTTCTTTGAGGATTCAGCACTGCAGTGAACAAGAACCCCAGCAGCATAAGAAAGCCCACAGTAGCCAAAATGTTCAGTGAAGATTAAAATGAAATAGCAGAGTGGGTGGTTAAGCAATACAAACCCCCTGGGGCTGTGCCTACCGCCCAAACTTGGTGCAAATTTAAGACTTTTATGAAGATAAAACTGAGTCACACTCAGCAACTAACATGTGGGAGCTCAGAAAATGTCATTTTGTAAGTACCTATCAAAAGTTTCTGTCCAAATGGACCTAAACCTTTGGTTAGTGCTATTCTTTAAAGTCAAATACCCACAGGAAATGTGTGATAGTGGTTGTCTCCCAAGAAAGCAGCTAGGTGGTTAGGAGACAAGGGTGTGGAGGGACTTATTTTCATTGTATGACCTTTTTGCCTTTTAAAGTTTGTATTGCGTATATGGAATAACAACACAGAAATAAGTAATTAAAGAAAAAAGTCCTAACCCAACGGCAAGACAGAGAATAAAAGAGACATAAGACTAGTACCCCAACTGCTTTGGTTCCAAGAAATAACACCTGGGAGATACCCGATACAAGAACCATGTCTTATTCATCTTTCTTCTGCACTTAGCACAGTGCCTAGAACATATTAGGGGCTCAGTAAAGGCTGAAATTAAATAATAGATCTCTTCTCCCAGAAAGGGCCAAAGAAATGGATGCTATAGTAAGATAAATTTCAGCAGAGTTTAAAAATTACTAATAGCTTGAATTATCCAAGTAGGAAATGAGCTTGATCAGAGAGATAATGAATTTTCTATTAGTGAAAGTGTTCAAGCATATATTATTACATGATTATTTACCAAGTAATAATGCACAAAGGA